TTTTTTTTTTATTATTATTATTTTCGATTGTATTCTTTTAAGCGAGCTGCTGTAATGGTATGCCCCCAGTGAAATCGTTGTTATGGTTTGTTTTTTGTGAAAAAAAGAGAGCAATAGGGCATGATTTAAGTGTTGCTAAAAACCTATTTTTTGCCGATTCACAGTTTTTCGAATTTGAATCCATATACACTTTATTTAAATCAAAGAAACGTTGTAAAAGCTCGGGTTCCAATAGCTTGGATATTTGCTGCTCAAGACTATCAAACAATGGGCGTGATTCGGGGACGGCGTTCCAACATGATGTCATAATATCGTATCTAGAAAATACATTTAGGTCAATGACCAAACCTCAAACGTTAAAAAAAACTTTTCCTTTCTTACATAAACTGTGGGGCATGATGTGGTTTTTTCAATCGGTTGCCATTTTGTAGATAATTTTCTATTTCAGTAAAGCCAATGTTTTCTTGAAAATATGGTACTACTCCGAGTGAAAAAAATTCCCATAGAACGATGCCAAATGACCAAACATCAGTATAAGCACTGTATTTCTGTTTACTACTTAGAGACTCGGGAGCTAAATACCCAAATGGAACTGACTCCTGTAAATGAAATATTAATTTAAATACCTTTTTGGAAGTTGTCAATGTTAAAATCGTTATACCTGTCCTTTTTTGTAGTATTTTTTTGTATTTCTATCTCTCAAACTTCGTGCCAGACCGAAGTCACAAATTTTGACAACATTATTGGTGCACAGCAAAATATTTCTGGCAGCCAAATCTCTGTGTAGAACATTTCGAGATGTCAAAAAATGCATTGCACGTGCCACTTGGAATGCCCAGCAAAGTAAATCGGTCCTTGTAAATGACACACCTGAATATAATAAAAAAAATCATAATGTATACCAACAAATCGTTTCATTATTGACAGCATAGTTACATCTTTGAGATTTATTGAACAGATTAAATTGCTAAATTATAATATAATTTACCTCTTTTTTCATAGGAGGGATCATCGAATTGGGATCCAGTGGATGAAAAATCATTGGATAATTGTTCATCTCCTTCCAACTACAAAAATTATAAATATGTTTTTTAAGGAACCTTCTCAACTCCATAGATATGTTTGAAATTACTTCTGATTCCGGTTCATCGTCACTTTGATTATCTTCTGAGTATTGTTCATTTTCTGTTTGTGTAGTTGATCTAATTGACACTGTTTCGTGATTATTTTCATCGTGGAACCATATACGATTTTTTTCCAAAAAATCTTCAATACTACCGCCCTCACAGTATTCAACTATAATCATTATTCCACCTAGAAACAGCGTTTAAGAAATGCCTTTTTTACAGTTTCTCGTAAAAGGAAAATAATTTATTTACTGTTTTCAAAATCCTTGGTAACAACTCCAAGTAAATTCACAACATTCAAATGCTGACCCAAATACATCATTATCTTAGCTTCCGAGATGAAATCTTTTATATGCTGTTTATAGGACTATGCGAATTTAAAATAGAGATGATGATTTGATATTTTAACCACCAATTTAAAACAGTGATGGTTTTTTCCCATCTTAATAGCGCTAGCTATTCTCAGCGCCTGTACAGCATTGCTGCCCAGATGCTGAATCACACAGAGCAATGTGAAAATTGTCTCGGAGGGCATCTGGAAAAAACACTTTCTAAAGGTTTTTTGGCATGCTGAAGCCGAATTTTTGGGTTTCAGGTAAAAAAAAAATCATGGGTTAAAGGGTTATGACCCCTGACCCCCTAGGGGGTAGGGGCAGTTGGAGGGCGGCTGACCCAAAAAATTTCTCTCATCATTCTGAACAACTTTGTAGAACATAATTTTTTGATCCGATGATAAAATCGACATCAACAAAAAAAAAAATTGAAAAAAATGAAGTAATTAACTCATATAAAAACAAATGACGGTGTACACGTCCATTTAACGTTAAAGAAAAGCGTCACTGTATTTTCTGTTAAAAAATTGTTGTCGAATAAAAAAAACACGTTGTAAATAATATTTTAAGAGCGTGACGGCTTAAAAATTATTTTAGAACAAAAATCAGTTGATTTGAGTGCTGTTGCATTGACATGTAGTCTATAGCGCTTGCTCCTTTCTGGTTTAACCAAAAGAGTGGAAGAATGACAAGGACAGCGTATGACGTTGAACGACGCTCACTGCGTTAGAAAAGAGCAAGCGCTATAGACTATATGTCAATGCAACAGCACTCAAATCAACTGATTTTTGTTCAAATAGAATTTTTAAACCGCCACGCTCCTAAAATATTATTTACTTCGTGTGTTTTTTATTCGACAACAATTTTTTAACAAAAAATAACGTGACGCTTATCTTTAACGTTAAATGGACGTGTACACCGACATTTGTTTTTATATGAGGGGGCGATTTGGCATTTAAATAAAAAAACATCCTATTTTTCCACAATTTCGATTAAAAAGTAACCTGTCGAACAGCATATCACCTTTCTGAATAGCCAATGATATTTTCGAGCATTGGTGCTGAGCGCGTCAAATAAAACGCAACGACACATAATCAAAATAAAAATAAAAACATTTATGCTTTATGATGATGACTTTCCTTCTGACGGCTGAGCATCCGCGTCTGAGGATGTCAGGAGATATTCAGATAGCTGGTAACTATCTATGTTGCAATTTATAACTTATTGTGAAATGCTACAATATTGTGGCAAAATGCATACCAATTTTATTTCGAATAGTTCAACTTAACCAAATTACATCGCAACCATATTTTGAATATAATGAATACCAATTGAATGCACCACAAATGAACTTAGTTTGGAATTCGCATATTCCATTCACCGCCTACCAAGGGGCATTTTACTATATGCGAATGCCATTTTATACGGAATATATGAACATTTTTCTATTCATACATGAAATATACGAAGTAAAGTATATTCATCCGCATCAACATCTTAGAAAATTCGTACATTTCATTCGCAACCATTCGCGGATGCCGCATACGTCTTGCTAGATGCGACAAACTGTCGTGTGACATTTGTACATACACATTGCTGTGTTCAGTTTGTCGTAGCAGTTTCAAACACAATGTGATTGTTCTCAACTAAATTTGAAAAACAGTCGAAAAAAAAATTACAAGATTTTTTGTTGAATATTATTTTAGAAGCCGTATTCGATTCGAAAAGTGAGATTTTAGAAATAAATTCAGATAATATAAAAGAAATTGAAAGTTTCGTCAATCAAAATAAAAACCTTTCACAACGGTGCCTTACAGTGATTATATTACGAGTGACAAAGATTTATTTACCATTTTAGAAAAATTTCACTCAATATTACCAAAAAAATATCAATTCGGCTTGAATCTCTGTCAACTAATCTGTCACTTTGACTTTTTGAATGTAAAAATATGACTTTTCATATGCGCCATCCGCAAAATGTGTATGAAACATTCGACACCGTCCGCAAATTCGTATGAAACATCCGCCACCATTCGCAAAATTTGTATGAAACATTCGCTCGCATATGGAACATTCGTATAAGTCGGAACCCCCTAGCCGCCTACAGACCATACATAATATTGGTATCTCTTTTGTTTTCCGCAATTCCATAGATGCGCTGGTCAGAGTTACTTTTGGTCTGATGTTTTTGTTGTATTTTCAGTGTTGATGTTCGACAATATGAAAACAATACAAGAATGGAAGTCAAAAATATACAAACCCACATCAAACAAAGCACAG